CGGTGGCCTTGGAACGACCCTTCGGAAGGGTCCTTCCGAGACTACCGCCGGCATTTCCCCCCAGCTGAGTGGCAGGGCTCCTGCTCAGCTCGGGGAAAATGCCCCCTCCGAAGGGGAATCCCGGCGGTGGCCTTGGAACGACCCTTCGGAAGGGTCCTTCTGAGGCTACTGCCGTCATTTCCCCCCAGCTGAGCAGCGGGAGCAGTCCTTTGGAGGCTCCCACCGCTCAGCTGGGGGGAAATGGGGCCTATGGGGAAAACATCGCAAAGCGATTTTTCCCCATAGGCAACATCGCAAAGCGATGGCAAAAGCGATTGCTTTTTTGCCATCGCTATGCGGATTCATCGTTAACCGGGGCACTCGTTAAACGAGGCACCACTGTACTTCTGATGGCCACCAACTTTAGATTCATGGAGGATAAAACAATGGCTACTACTTAATGGTGATGATAATACCGTGTTTCCCCAAAAATATGACAGGGTCTTATATTAATTTTTGCTCCAAAAAACACATTCAAGCTGATCTTCAGTGGATGTTTTATTTTTTCAGGTACAACCATCTGCATTTATTCAAACACAGTCATGTCATCTGGTTGCTACACAATGGTGGAGGGTGGAGTTTCACTTCACTGGGGCTTATTTTTGGGGTAGAGCTTATATTACGAACATCCTGAAAAATCATACTAGAGCTTATTTTCAGGTTAGGTCTTACTTTCGGGGAAACAGGGAATGCTGTTTCTAAAATCCAAAGAGAATATATATCTACATTCCATTTGCTGGAAAACAACAGCAAGGCACGACAGCTGCCCTCACTGTTTTCGGGTTTCCCTTAGGCACTTGTTTAGCTGCTGTGGAAGACAGAACACTGGACTAGAGAGGCTTTTGATCTGATTCAACAGAGCACACTTCTTATGAACAAAATCATAAAGATGCAGTGATCTTGCATACACCAGCTGACTGCAACACATAGTAGCACTGAAAAGTACTTGCATGTATGCCCAGCATATTCTAAATAGTTTTCTAGGTGATTGTGGGCTACTGGTGGGAACTAGTAAACATAAAACAGTGTTGTGGATAGATAGAGGACTCTGGATAACAGATGACAAGAACTGGCTGGCTGGCTTGGTAGTTTAGGTATCTGGGTACAGAGCAAGAGTTTGGGAGTTTAACTTCCCACTGAGTAGTTCATAAAGCCTATAGAACCTACAATCGCCACATAAAGATGGTGCTTTGAACACTCTACCTTTTTCCTATCCCAGCGGCTTGTTCTTCAATGAAGATAATCTGGGAAAGAGGAATAGCCATACAACAGTCCTACAAGGAAAAGCAAGGGACAAAATAAAGAGAGTTTTGATTGTGTAAATGTGCTTATTTTAACTACAGAAGACTACAGAATGTCAGCATCATCTTTGCAATAAGTTCTTCTACAAAGCACTTCTGCTGCCCCACAATGTGCTGCTGGAATGCTCAAAGTCTTCCCATGAGAAATAGGTTTGTGTATCAAGTGTGTTTCACAGAAACCCTGCCCTACTGGAGAGGAGCTGAAAACCACAATTTTGACCCTACAACTGCAACTCTAAATTGTCCATTTCGGAAAAAGAACCAAGTAGAAACATTAGGCTTTCAGAAAGTGGCAGGACTGAGAGGCAGAAATGGAGCTTCAATGAATAACAGCTGTAATTTTAAAGCGTTGCCAAAATGAAAAAAGCTCAACTAGCCAATTTAAATGCCACAGATCTTTTATCAAAATAATTTGTTTTCAAAGATTTTATTTGTCTATGCTGCTACTCTATGGTGACCTGACACTGAACTGCTTTCCCCCTGCACTGTACTTCCCTGGTACCTCCAATTATCAATGTCCCTCAAGCATCCACTGTTGCTTGTAAAGTTCCCAGTGCTGAAATTCTAACTGAAAATGCTGAAATTCTGAAAATCGTAACATTGAAAGTCTTGGGAGCTGCCAAACTGCTAATCCTCAGTCTCTGATATAAAGCAGAATCTGGACAGTTGGAGTGGGGACAGTACAAAATGAGAAGGAAAAATTCCAGTACAATCAGTGCAAGAACCATAATAAATAAAGATATAAATGCCCAATTTGGAGAATAATATGTTCTATCCAGCTTCTGCAGTTTCTTAATGTGCACATGTTTCCACAGAAATTTCTTGATACCAAAATGTAGGGTCCTGGTAATACTCAGACCCTTGGCACATCATGGGATAAATTTCTTTATGATCTGTTTTTCTTACCCCATAACAATCCTGACTTGTGTGTCAGACACAAAGTGAGCCTATTTGTATTGTCCCAGAAGTGTAATTCTTAGCAATGAATTACACAAATGGATTGCCTGGCTACATCTTAAAGACCACAAATCTTCTCAAGTGATAAGATTCTTGGCTAAGATATGGGAAACTATGAAATGTATTGTTTTACATTATATCTTATTTTTATTTGGTGTTTAAATAGTGTGATATACCAAGTCTGTCCTAAGAAAGTTTTTTTTAAGAAAATACAAAAACAAACCCACCCACCCCCAACAATAAGACATACAATCTTGCTGGAGGAAACCTCTCAGGATCTCTTGATTTGCTTTGGGCCCACTAATGCCTGTTTCCTCTCCAATGCTTCTGTTCCCACAAACTGAAAACCGAGTTTTCCTTTAGGCAGAGTAGGATGAAGCCAACCACAAAGCTACTGATTCCCAGAATGATGGTTCATCTAGTAAAACAATGGAGTGCAATTCCTAGGAGTCCTTGGTACCAATGATACTGTCACAAAATCAGTTCTTCTTCACTTTTGTAGGCATGTGGCAACTACACAGAAACTTGTCAACGAGTAAGATATAGATCTATAATATAAATAAACACATGCAACTAATTCCTGAATTATGCCTACTTATTTCGTGAATGCTGGGAAATATTCAACAGAGCAGGAAAAGAGCAAGACATAACAGGAGGTGGAGTGGTTCAATAAAGGAAGCCATGGCCTTGAATTGGAAGACCTGAGCAGGGTTGTTCAAGAAATTAATTTTTTAGGGGTTACTCATTCATGTTACCTTACCGCCATCAAGTCAGAAGTGACTTATGGAGACCCTAATGAGGCTTTCAAGGTAAATGAAATATTAAAGGAGTGGTTTTATTAGTTCCACTCCCCCAGGGAGTTTCCATGCATAATCAGGGATTTGAACCCAGGTCCTCATCTGTCACTCTACTGACTATGCAACACTGGATACTCTCACTTATTTACAGAGTCACCGTAAGTCTGAAGTGACTTAACAGCATGGAACAACAATTATCTGTTGACTATTCCCTGAAATTTGTCACAGCTTTTATTTAGCAAACTGCAAAGTACCATAAAGTTTAGTACAGGGGCTCAGTCTTCTTGCATAATAATCAAAGAAAAAATAGCAATACTCCCTTATCACCTACTACATGAAAATTATGGACATGCCAGAATAATGATACATACATGATTTTTCTGATCTCTCCAAATCAATCTGTGGGTACTCAAGAGCAATATCCCAGTATCAAATTTCACCTAGAGAGGAAGAAAATTTTACAATATTCAAGTTACGGATTGATAGCAACTATTCTGATGATTGATCAACCTGATCAAAAGTCAACCTAAATTTAGAGGAAGATAGAGAAGTCATCAAGAGGTGATCCACAATCAGGTTCTGCTGACTACTATTGTACTCCTAGCAGTAACACTACTTCAGTTTCAAGAATGAACTACAATCTTATGTTAGAAATTAGGGAATAAGCCTGATAAAGACAGAAGGCTTATTGAGGTAACATGCACAAGATGAGGCTGTAGGGGCCAGGCTTCCTTAAATACTGTACAATTTTGGATCTAGGCTTCCTTTTGGCTATTATTTGCAGATTGAAGATAGGGGAATGAAAGCTCCCTGGTGTAACATCCTGCCTCTACATGCACAATTAGCAAGGCCAGGTTCAGTGTTCAGAGCAATTTACTCAAGGTGGCACCCTCTGGATGTGCAAGACTACAATTCCCATCATGTCCAGCTATGGAGCTCGGTGGGAGTGCTAGTTGCAATCCAACACATCTGGGAGGCACAAGGTTGGGGAAGGTTGGCCTCTGGCACCTTGTGCTTGAGTGACTGACCACAAATCGATACTGTTCACGGACTGCAAAGAAGGTGTACGAAAACTTGTTTCGGTTAATTAAGTCCCAAGGCCAGTGGGGCAAGCAGAAATCCACCACCGACACAAATTTCCACACTGGGCAGGGAACACACAAACAAGGTGTGTTTTGTGAATACCAAATCCCAGTCACCGCTAGGCCAGCCTGTCTAAAAAGGCGGCGGTGTCAGCTCTGTTGCCTGTGTCACAAGGCAAAGGCAACGGGGGTGAGAAAGAAAAAAGGGGGAACCTTTAAAGCGCCACATAATTCTTTGCTGCGGCTGTTGCGCCTTTAACAACGACACCCGGGAGCTCTTCTCTTCTTTATGGCCGAAGAACGAGGGCCATAAAATCCCCTCTTCAAAAAGCCCGCCAGCACCGTGTCCCTCCCCGCGAAGCACCGGCTCTCCCACCACCACCACCACCCGCCGCCCTCCGTCACAGGCCGCGGCTCGGCCCTTTCTAGTCTCCAAGCGGCTCCCCCCCTCCCCCCTCCTAGTCTCCGGCGGCGGCGGTTGTCCTGACCTTCTCCTCGCCGTCATAAAGGCGGACCCCGCGCTGCTGCGTGACGAGATTCTCGTGGATCTCTAGCAGACCGTTGGTCCAAGCGAAGCGATCCATGGCCCCTCGGCGCCCGTCGCCGCCGCCTCCTCCTCTTCCTTCTCTTCCGCGGCGGCGAAGAGATGGCGCCTCCGACGCCGCCCTTGGTTGAGGAGAAGAAAACACATCTCAGCTCGACCGGGGAGGGGAGACGAGGGGGGAACCTCCGACTCGGGCCGTCTTAGGAGGATAATCATCAGAATAATTCAATGGAAGGGCTATTAATAAAATAAAAATATTGTCTATATGGACAGCCCCAGAGAAATACTGATGGGAAAATATGGTAATACTTTAAAACAAAAAGGAAACTGAAGGCTTGACTTTTGCCGGACAAAAAACATTATAAAAGCTAAGATTCAAGGAATTAGGGCTAACAGCAAAGGTCGACTCTCCCAAGAAAAATAGGAAACCGCGTCACACCTCATCTGCGAATGTCCAAATATTGCACAGATTACAAAATTAGACATGATAGAGTGGCAAAATTACCACACTGCTCATTATGCAAAATAATAATAATAATAACTTGCCATGCTCCAAAAACCTGTGGGAATATCAAGTAGAGAAGGTGTCAGCAAATGAGGACGTCAAGATCTTGTGGGATTTCCGGATCCAAACCGATAGACACCATGAACATAACACTCCAGGCATAGTAGTAATACAGTGGACCCTCTACTTACGGAATTAATCTTTATTGGAACGGTGGCTGCAGGTCCAAAAGTCTGTAGGTCGAGTCTCCATTGATTTACAATGCATTGAAAACCGATTAATCCGTAACCAGCCATTTTTGTTCCATTTTTGTTCCATTTTGTTTTTTTCTGGTCTGTAGGTTGAGTCTGGCTGCAAGTCGAACCTAAATTTTGCGGCCAGAGAAGTCTGTAACTCGAAAAGTCTGTAAGTCGAGGGTTCACTGTAGAACAAAAAAGGTCGGGATCATTGATATTGCAATTCCGGGGGATGCCAGAGCTAAAAATACTTAAAAAAAAAAACTAACAATACAGAGACCTAAGCACTCATTTCACACGCTAGCAAGGTTATGCTATAAATCCTACAAGGTAGGCTTCAGCAGTATGTGGACCGAGAACTCCCAGAAGTACAAGCTGGATTCCAAAGGGGCAGAGGAACTCGAGACCAAATTGCTAACATGCGCTGGATTACGGAGAAAGCCACAGAGTTCCAGAAAAACATCTACTTCTGCTTCATTGGCTATGCAAAAGCCTTTGACTGTGTGGACCACAGCAAACTATGGCAAGTCCTTAAAGAAATGGGAGTGCCTGACCACCTTATCTATCCCCTGAGAAATCTATACAGTATGTGGGACAGGAAGCAACAGTTAGAACTGGATATGGAACAACTGATTGGTTCAAAACAGGGAAAGAAGTACGACAAGGCTGTATATTGTCCCCCCGGCTTATTTAACTCCTGTCGAGGCTCTGGTTGATAGCTGGCTAGCCACCGCCACCAATGCTGTAGACGTGATCGCACCTAAACACCCTCTCTGGCACAGAGATCGCCCTTCGCCCTGGTTTAATTCCGAGCTGCAATCAAGGAAGCGAAATAGGAGAAGGCTTGAGCGCATATGGAGGCGGAACCCGACAGAAAATAATCAAATAGCTGTGAGGATCACGACTAACCTCTACCAATCTAAGGTGAAGGCTGCTAGTCAATCTTACTTTGCTGTCCAGATAAGTGAAGCCTCCAACCAGCAGGCGGGGGTTTTCCGTATGGTTTGCAATCTGTCCGAATTTGGTCATAGTGACTGGCCTCCTGCTAGCATCTCACCTGACCAATCTGCAGTCTTTTTAAAATCAAAAGTGGAGGCCATCCGCCGGGATCTTACCCCCTATTTGAAAACAGTGGATCAAGCTGAGATGTCCAGCGCTCTGTCTTGCCCAATAAGACTCGATCCCTTTCAGCCTGTGATGTCAGATATGGTGGACAGAGTGCTTGACCGCTGTCATGCCACTACCTCCTCCCTTGACCCTTGCCCAGCCTGGCTAATCAAAGCAACCAGGTCTACAACAACCAAATGGGCCAGGGCAGTAATTAATGGGTCTCTCCAGGAGGGCGAGGCTCCCCTTGCCCTCAAGGAGACATTCATTAGGCCCATTAGGAAGAAACCGAGCATGGCAGCGGACTATATTGGTAATTATATGCCCATCGCCAATGTTTCTTTCCTCAGCAAGGTAGTCGAGAGGGTGGTAGCTGATCAGCTGCAGGCTTTTCTGGATGAAACCAATGCCCTGGATCGATTTCAGTTGGGCTTCAGGCCGTGCCACGGCACAGAAATAGCATTGGTCGTCCTGTTTGATGACCAACTGAGGGAGGCCGACAGGGGCAAAAATGTCTCTGCTGGTCCCCCTAGATATCTCAGCCACCTTTGATACCATCAACCACGGTATCCCCCTGGGGAGGCTCTCCAAGTTGGGAATTGGTGGCCTTGCTCTTGCCTGGCTCCGTTCCTTCTTGGAGGACTGTCTCCAGAGAGTGCAGATTGGGGAGAGTTTCTCGGCCCCGTGGAGCCCCAATTGTGGGGTTCTGCAGGGCTCGATTATCTCTCCTATGCTGTTTAACATCTATATGAGGCTGCTGGGAGGGGTCATCAGGTGATGTGGGGCTTCGTGTCATCAGTACGCTGATAATACTCAGCTCTACATCACCTTTTTTCCAATAACAGTGGATGCTGTTTCGTCCCTTGAGCGCTGCCTGGGGGCTGTTCAGCAATGGATGCAGGTGAATGGACTGAGGCTGAATCCGGGCAAGATGGAGGTCCTTCAGGTGGGTGTCCCAGAAATCAGTGGGCTGGGAAACTCCCTTTCCTTTGAGGGGGTGACTCTTACCACCAAGAGTGAGGTTCGCAGTTTGGGTGTACATCTGGCACTAACCATGGAGACCGAGGTGTCGTCAGTGGTCCATTCCGCACATTTCCCCCTTCGGCGGATTGCCCAGCTGCGTCCCTATCTTGATGTGGGGGCGCTCACTACATTGGCCCATGCACTCGTAGTCTCAAGTTTAGACTACTGTAATGCACTCTACATGGGGCTGCCTTTGAGTCTGAAGCGAAAACTTCAGATGGTAGAAATGCAGCAGCCAGGCTTCTGACTGAGGTGAAAAGGTACCAACATATTTCCCCCATGCTGGCTGCTTTGCATTGGCTGCCCATCTGGTTCCACGCTGATTTCAAACTTCTTACGATGACATATAAAGCTCTAAACAGTTTAGGACCTCGATATCTGGCAGAGCGCCTTCTCCCACCCAGTTCTGCCAGAGTCACTTGTTCCAGCCATGCCGGGCAACTGAGGGGCTTAACGCCAAGGGAGGTCCAGAAGGAAAGAATAAGGAGAAGGGCCTTCTTGGCAGTGGCCCCTCACCTTTGGAACAACTTGCCAGTGCAGATCCGCCTGGGTCCTTCTCTGGGTGTCTTCAGGAATAAACTTAAAACCTGTCTATTTGGGCAGGCTTTCCCTCCTGCCATATCTTAACTGCCATTTTTTAATTATTTAAACTTTGCCATCTTGGACTTTTTGGTTTTACGGTTTTTAAATTTGTAAACCGCCCTTGGTCTAGATGGCTGGGATAAAAATCTAATAAATAAATACTCAAAAGCCTTTGACTGTGTGGACCACAGCAAACTATGGCATCCTTAAAAAAACAGGAGTGCCTGTCCACCTTATCTACTGAGAATTCTATATGTGGGACAGGAAGGAACAGTTAGAACTGGATATGGAACAACTGTGTGGTTCAAAATTGGGAAAGGAGTACGACAAGGCTGTGTATTGTCTCCCTGCTTATTTAACATATGCATCATGCAAAAGGCAGGACTGGATGAATCCCAAACTGGAATTAAGATTGCCGGAAGAAATATCAACAACCTCCGATATGCAAATGATCCCACTCTGATGGCAGAAAGTGAGGAGAAATTAAAGAACCTCTTAATGAGGGTGAAATAGGAGAGCACAAAAAATGGTCTGAAGCTCAACACCCAGAAAACTAAGATCATGGCAACTGGTCCAATCACCTCCTGGGAAATAGAAGGGGGAGTTATGGAGGCAGTGATAGATTTTACTTTCTTGGACTCCATGATCACTGCAGATGGTGACAGCAGCCACGAAATTGAAAGACACCTGCTCCTTGGGAGGAAAGCGATGACAAACCTACCTTGCCAACAAAGGGCCGCATAGTCAAAGCTAGGGTTTTTCCAGTAGTGATGTATGGAAGTGAGAGCTGGACCATAAAGAAAGCAGACCGCCGAAGAATTGATGCTTTTGAATTGTGGTTCTGGAGGAGGCTCTTGAGAGTCCCCTGGACTGCAAGGAGAACAAACCTATCCATTCTAAAGGAAATCAACCCTGAGTGCTCACTAGAAGGATAGATCCTGAAGCTGAGGCTCCAGCCCTTTGGCCATCTCATGAGAAGAGACTCCCTGGAAAAGTCCCTGAGGTTGGGAAAGTATGAAGGCAAGAGGAGAAGGGGACGACAGAGGACGAGATGGTTGGATAGTGTCAATGAAGCTACCAACATGACTTTGACCCAACTCTGGGAGGCAATGAAAGGCAGGAAGGCCTGGTGTGCTCTGGTCCATGGGATCACAAAGAGTTGTACACAACTTAACTACGAAACAACAAAGCAATCAAAACATCTCGCCTCTGGAAGAAGCACACTTCAGTGGTCCCCTTAATTGGAGCTTTGGGAACATGGCAAAAAAGTTTAGTAATAATAAAAGGCAAGTTTAAACATGTTCATGAATAATCTGGCCTCTCACCAGATTACTCGTAACAAGTCCGAGCCCACTTATAAATTCAAACATAGCCTGCAGGAAAAAAAAACATGTCATAGAAATTCTCCGTTAAAGCGATCTGCTTTGAGGCTACTAATCTTGCTCAGTTAAATCACAGGCACAGACGGGATTTGAATCAAGAATTCCAGAGTTTTAAGCTCTCACGTCTGGAAAAACATTCAAATGCTGAAATCCTGTTGCTTAGCGTAGTAAATTGCACCTAGAGTGAGGGTGTGGGGAGTCAATTTCCCCATAACTTCCATGGATGCAAACGGGTCTCCTCCAGTTGTAAATTACTCCCCTAAACTGCAGGATGTCAGCCAATTAAGTAGGACAGGGTCACCTGCCTACCCACATTGGTAGCCGTTGCATTTCGCCCTCAAACAAGAGGGTGGGCTGTTTTCCCATTCTTCACGCGAGCCCCTGAGGGTCGTATAACCGTATAACGTATTCCTTACACGCATGCAGACAGAAAAATGAGACAATTCACAGTTGAACCAACGGCTTTTCTTTCTCCGAGCACCGGAAGTATTGGTAGAAAGATGTGTGCGTACCGAACTGAACCCTATAATCCAAGATGCACTTGTATCTATTGGTTAGCAAGGAAAGACGCAAGCCATATGATTGACTGTTCCACAGTCACTGCATGGCCGGTCCATAGACGCGCCATTAGTTTCCCCGCATAGGCCTGAAGCCCGCAGGAGAACTACTCCGACTTGCTTTCGCATGGGAACCGGAAGTAAAAAGACGGCCGAGGCGGCACGTCCTAACTTTCGCAGCACCGCCTCTTGCGGTGTTTTTTTAAACCCAATTGGTCGATTTCAATCCCCCAGCCCGCTGGCCCCGCCAATCAAGGGGGCGGTTTGGTGATTTATAATCGCCTAGCGCGTGATTCAATTCAAACGAAGTGGCCGGTTGGTGGTGGTTACGTCGTGTTTTCAAAGGGGATCGGCTGCTGCTGCTGCTGGTATCGGTAAGCTTCGCTCGATGGCTCGTTTTGTTTGGGATTTCAATTAGCCAACTGTGACAAATAAGCCTTTTTTGGTCTAGATGTCAGCGCTCAAGGTTTGCTGGGGGTTATAGATTGGGCGTGAAGCGAAAGAACCGCAGCTGAAGAAGCGAAAACCGAAGGAGAAGGGTAATAGTCATTGTAGCAAAAATCGATGGGATGTACTGGATTTCCCCTCGTCGTTATGGAGTAGTCCTGCTAAATCCCTGCGGGAGAGGTTAGCAGGCTCCCGCTGCGTGGGATCCGTTTTCGGTTTTTTGTTTTTTTTTTAATTGTTCCCGGGATCCATCCCAAAAGGCTTTAAAATTGTAGTTAAAACCCAAGATTCTTCTGAGCACGCGCCGAGCCTAGAAAATTTTTGAACCAGCTCGCTGTCTTTTCTACACAAGGTCACTTCGTTTATTATCTTCGTTTTAGCAGCCTGCGGTAGGTTGGTAATATATGCTCTCTCTGCTAAAACCCATTGTCGGGAACCTTTGTTGTTCTGCTGCAATTGACCCCGTGATTGATCAGTAGATTCTAATCTACTTTCTCCCCACCCAACCCCTATCAAATAGTCAAAACACACCTGTTTCCCTTTTTAATTTATCTTGTGCTGTGGAGAGTTTTGGGCTCAGTAATTTGCAGGTGTTAATGTTTTCCTGTTCTTGCATATGCGTTGGTGACTGTTAAGCTGCATCTTTGTTTAAAATGTTTTGTCTTGCCTGACATCAGGCTGCTATAATGACTGGACTGCAAAATGAAATTAGGGTACAGTACAACAAACTGAATATGCATTTATGAATAAAAATAGTGCTGCCTAAAAATACTGTGCTCCTATTTTGGCTTCTCTGCTAAAACATTAGTGACTTGTCAGTGTTATTTTTCTTGAACTAAGGTGTCCAAATCTACTAAATCATGAACTTGGAATTTCTAATTTGGCAATTGCAAATGTGCATTGAAAAACACACACACCAGATAAACCCAACAACTACTTATGCAACATTTGCTTTATTTGAGAGAATCAAATGATGCCTAAGGAGTGTTCTTTTTATCTTTTTGCTAAAAAGCAAAATATGTTAACATGTGTTTCAGAGGATGTGGCAAAAAAAAAAAAACTAGAAGAGATTCCCAAACTGGAAAATAAAGGAGTGGGTTTGTTGTAGGCATATACTTAACAAACAAAAAATGGTAGCCAGACCCTGCGTGTGCATTCTGTGTGGAAAGATTATATGCAAGAAATGTAAGACTTGTGTTTGAAAGTGAATGATACCAATTTTACCTTTCTCCTGCACAGCATTCAAGAGCAGAATGTTTAATTGAAGCAGGAACATCAAATTATTTCTTAACAAAACAAAAATATGTACAGAATCCTAAAACAGGCTTGGGTGATACCTTTATTGCATCATTATTTTTCTGGATCCATTTCAATCGGGTTTCAGGCCTGGTTTTGGTACAGAGACTGCCTTGGTTGCTCTGTATGATGACCTTTGCAGGGAGAGAGGCGGGGGAGTGTGACCCTGTTGATACTCCTGGACCTCTCAGCGGCTTTCAACACCATCGACCATGGTGTCCTTCTGGATAGGCTGGCCGGGTTGGGAGTTGGGGGCACCGCTTTACGGTGGTTCCGCTCCTTCCTGGCTCATCGTGTCCAGAGGGTGATGCTGGGGGACAGTTGTTCTGCCCCATGGCGTTTATGTCATGGGGTTCCTCAGGGCTCAATACTGTCCCCCATGCTGTTTAACATCTACATGAAACCGCTGGGAGAGGTCATCAGGAGGTTTGGGCTGAGAAGTCAGCAATATGCTGATGATACTCAGCTCTGCCTCTCCTTTTCCACCAATCCAGGTGAGGCGGTTTCTGTGCTGAACTCGTGTCTGGACCTGATGATGGACTGGATGAGGGTTAATAAATTGAAACTCAATCCAGACAAGACGGAAGTGCTGTTAGTAGGGGCTTCACCGGACAGGCTGGAGGGTCATTTCCCTGCCCTGAATGGGGTTACACTCCCCCTAAGGGACAGGGTCCGCATCTTGGGGGTGCTCCTGGACCCCAGTCTAACATTGGAAGCCCAGGTGGACTTGGTGGCCAGAGGCGCCTTCCTTCAGCTGCGGAAATTATACCAGCTACGGCCCTGCCTGGACGAGCGGGGTCTCATGACAGTTACACATGTACTGGTAACATCTCACATAGATTACTGCAATGCGCTCTACGTGGGGCTGCCTTTGAAGACGGTCCGGCGACTGCAGCTGGTCCAGAATCGAGCTGCGCGGCTGGGGAGCGGTGGGGCCGCTAGGGAACATATCAAGACAATTCTGTATAAGTTACATTGGCTACCAGTTGCTACCCGAACCCAATTCAAAGTGCTTGTTTTGACGTATAAAGCCCTAAATGGCTTGGGCCCTGGATACCTGAAGGACCCCTTCCTTCCATATGAACCTACCCGGCAGTTAAGATCTAACCAGGGGGGGCTTTTGAAAGAGCCATCGCTCAAGGAGGTAAGAGGGAGGGCTTGTAGACAAAGGGCCTTTTGAGCAGCTGCCTTCAGACTATGGAATGCCCTCCCGACTGAGATTCGTCTGGCGCCGACGCTGATGACCTTTTGGCACCAGGTCAAAACCTTCCTGTTCCAAAAGGCTTTTAACTGAAATAATATCAGCTGTGGGTCTGGTGGCAATTTTTAGAATATATATTTAAATTGCATTTTAATTATTTTGCCCTTTTATTTTGCCTTTTATTGTATTTTAAATGCTGTAAGCCGCCCAGAGACCTTCAGGTAGTGTGGGCGGCATATAAGTTAAATAAATGAATTATACAGTGGTGCCTCGCATTGCGTTAATTCGTTCCAGCGCAATCACTGTAGAACGAAAACATAATACGAAAATTAAAAGCCCACTGAAACGTATTGGCACCCCTTCAATGCGTTCCAAAACTCACCGTCCAGCGAAGATCCTCCATAGGGCGGCCATTTTTGGTGCCTGTGCAGCGAGGAATCCGTCCCAGAAAACAGCGGGGAGCCATTTTACCTGGTGACCATTTTGAAACCACTGATTAGTTGTCCAAAAATTGTCGTTTTGCGAAGAATTGGTTCCCGAAGCAGGGAACCGATCATCGCAAAGCGAAAAGCCCCTATTCAGACCATTGTTTTGCGATCGCAAAAGTGATCGCAAAAAGATCGTCGTAAAGTGGGGCAATTGTAAAGCGGTGCACAACTGTAATATAATTACTAAGTGAAGGTCCAGCAGGCCGCTTGATCAGGCTGGCTATTGTAGGTTTCGGGCAGTAGTGGGAAGCGAAAAATAAATCATCCTGCTTAGAGATTGAAGCCGTATGATCTGTGAACAACTGTGTACTGTCAAGTTGATTCTGGATTACTGTAAGCTTTCCCAGGGTTTTCTAACTATAAAGTCCCAGTCCCTTCTTCTGGGGTGAGCTGGAACTGTGGTGCTTGTCCAAGACTCCACAAGCCAGCTCTTTCTCAAGGTACAGTCTGGAACTGAACTCAGACCTCGGCTGTGCAACCAACCAGGTGCTCTGACAATCCAGCATGTTAACAGTAAAGATGGAGAGCTGCAAATTTGAAGACTTAAGTTTCTGGTGTGACATAACATTACATCTGCAGGGGTGTAGAAACTGTGCCCAGTATCTTGTTTATCCTGGTGTAACAAAGTTGCGAGGGCATAGAGTTCCCAGCATGATAGCACTTGTGCTTTGGCTGCAGGGCAGCTAGTGTATGTGCAACCTCAATTTCAGTGTGCAGTCCCAAGTTGGGCATGCGTAGCTGTGCAATAGGATTTTGACTTATGTTTCTCCAGTTCTGTATATGAAGGACTGTCAGTATAAATGATCTACAATGATGTTGCACTAAAAATATAAAATTTGGGGTAGGCTGTCCCAGTTTGAATTGCATTTCCTCACCTGAGATTTTTCTCAGACCATCAAGTAACTTAAGGGAAGCAAGAGCACTCCTACTAGGTTGGTATGCTGCGCTTGCCCCCACTGGCCTATACACAGAGGCCAACATGATGCCACAATTTAACTGGAGCAGAGAAAAATGACATTAACAACATGACTTTTAGTCTCTATGTACTGGATTTTGTGTTTGTAGACAACGCAGATCTGTTGAGCCTATTACCTTTTTATATGTTGAAGTCTATATGCACACTCTAAATTAGACTGTATTTACCAAATACTTCTGTAATTGTTCATCTGTATTTTGATTTTAACTGGCTGCTGGAAGTCTTATCTTTTACACTGATCTTCTATATTCTGTTCCTGTCAATGTTTTTTAAATTGAAAATTACTTTGCAGTTGGTTTGGCTTAAGAGTGCATAAATGAATGATATTTAAACTGAGACTTAAATGGTTGTTGTGGGTTTTTCGGGCTCTTTGGCCGTGTTCTGAAAGTTGTTCTTCCTAACGTTTCGCCAGTCTCTGTGGTCGGCATCTTCAGAGGACAGGAGTAGCACTCTGTGCTCTGGTGCAGTTTGTTTGGAAGTTGAATATTTATAGCTGTTGCATCAGCTTTTGTCCTTTTCAGGAGATGGGTGATTCCGGTGATCAGAGTGTTTTTGTTGTGGGTATTGTTGTGATAAGGAGGAGAGATGATGTGTCACTGTGATTGATGGGTGTGGTTAGCTATTCTTTTGTGTGTAGTGATCACTGGTCCTTGTAGCTGGGTAGAGTTAGTTGACCTTTTGCAGGCTGTATTTTTCAGTGCTGGGAGCCATGGGTGATCCAAAAGGACAAAAGCTGAACAGCTATACTCAACTCCCAAACAAACTGCACCAGAGCACAGAGTGCTACTCCTGTCCTCTGAAGATGCCGGCCACAGAGACTGGCAAAATGTTAGGAAGAACAACCTTCAGAACACGGCCAAAGAGCCTGAAAAACCCACAACAACCATTAGATCCCAGCCGTGAAAGCCTTCGCGAATACCTTGAGACTTAAATCTTTTGTTGTTGTTTTCCTATCAGCTAGTCAAGCAGAGCTGCAAGACAGAGTTACATTGGCAGAAGAAAACTTTAAAAAATGGTAAGCCTTAAAATATGTTATTTGGTATTTGTTCATTAGTGAAAAACTGAGACATGGATTTTTTTAAAATGAATGTCTGTGATCTAAACTCTTCTGTGTGAAATGGAAATTTCAAAGACAGGCAAACAAAAAAAACAGACAGAAAAAAAGAAATTTGGAGGAAATCATAAAAATATGCAGCTCTTTTTTAAAAGCACCTTTACAGATATTAAGTCACCCTTCACCTTCAGGAACATAAAATATATTATGTAAATGTACTGGTTTGCTCACAAAATATTAAAGATACATTATATTTAGAGCTACAGTATAGTGTATTCAGACAATCTACTTTTGGAATTTATTCTTTTGTTTGAGATAAACTGCTAAATTCTTAAGAAACCTTGGTTGTCTTCAGTTTTTGCCAGTGTATGAAAAGAAGGTGAAAATTGAAAAGAGAAAATCACCAACATGATTGGAGGCCATTTACTGTATTATGCATTCTGGTCTTAATCTTTTGCATAGTATCAAGCAAGCATAGAAAGTGTTAACTTTAGAAATAAAAAGAGAGAAAAGAATGCAAGACTCACTGGCTGAAATACTGTTGCTTTTTGTAACCAAAGGTGTAATATTTACTAATTTCTAGCTGGCAGTTAAAGAGTCAGCACTGGGGTGGGTGCTCCAGAAGCAATAGGATTTCAGCCACTGAATACTGATTTTGCTTCATAAAACACTGTCTAACCCAGGGGAGGGGAATCTCTGTTGAAATAGCAATGATATTACTATATCTGAAACATGCTTACAGTTGTATTATATTTTAGTCCCACAAGCTATATGCTATCTTTATATTTGAAACCTGATGGTGGGAAATGTTTATCATTTTATATTAATTTTTCAGGAGGACAAAGAAAATGCTCACGGCTGTACATGGAACCAAACTGACACTACTCTGGAACAAAATGTAGCTTCTCCAAACATCTCAAAGTCACCCACTGTACTGAAGCAAATTAGTGCCGTTACAAACTGTAACCCTCTATCTAGTTCTACAGCAATTATTTCTAAGTCTTCTGAAACTAAAACAAAGAACATGTCATTTAATCAGACCCTCCTGCTCAAACAAAATACAAAAGAGAAACAGTTGAAAACACCTGCACTCAATTCTGGTGCATGCCTTTCAGAGAGGCGAGTACTCGGCTCATATCGTGGTAAGATTGTGTCATCGAAGATAAACTCTTTCAGAAAAACGATGGAAAATCAGGGCAGTAGGAACTCTTGGGCTGTTCCTCCTAAGTCGGCAGGGAAGATGGGATCCATAAGTGGTAGTGCAGGAGATGCCAAAGTCACCAGTACAGGATGTCCTTCAAAGCCTGCAGGTAGTACCTCACAGATCAAGCCTACCGTGAGAGTGTCTGTTAGCAACCCCAAGCCCATTTTGAGTTATGAGAAACAATCTGCTACATCCGTGAATAAGGCGGCAGCTCAAAGAAAACCTGACAAGAGTTCAAAACCACTGTTGGTTCCATCTTGTGCTAACATTTCTGCCCATAAACCAAAGAAACCTCTTCTGCCTAAAAGTGGAACAGGAAGTTTATTAGAACCTGTTTCTGATCCTCATGGTACTGTGTCGGCTTCCAAACCGCTTGACCATCGGAAAACTGCTCTGGCAAAATCAGCAGAAATGAGAAGGTAATGGAAATAACATTTGTTTTGTGTTGATAACTGAAGCACCTTTCTGCTGTGTATCTGCACAGAGAAGTTGTGATGTCCAGAAATAAAAATAAACTATTTGGAAGCGGGGGGAATTTTTCTAGAGTGTATTCTGTGCAATGCTTTGCAGTTACACTTGGTTCACCTGTCTAGAGGTACTGAGGCTATACTATACAGGCCCTTACAGTTTTGAGGTTGAAAAGCTGTTAAGTGTTAAAACCAGCCAGCAAGAATGGTAAAGGTTAATAACAAAAAACAAAAACCAACAGTCATTTGAAGAAAGACCAGTTTGATGGCTCTGTGGCAGTAGGGATTCATGGTAAATATTTTTTCTTTTAAAAAATCCTCATTTGCTTCATGTTAACCAAATATACGAAGCTTAAGAAACAAAATTTGTGCATCTCTTTTCCTAGTTTACACTGTACTGCTCTGATTTGGGTCTAAATAAGCAATTTTCCACAGCTCATGAATTTAAGCAGTATGAGACAATTGCCCATAGCAGTAGAAATGCAGGATGCACTCCAGATATTTTTTAATCTACGGTTCCCATCAGCACTACCTAACATGGGCAGTTGAGAGGGATGATGGGAGTGGCATCCTAAAACCTCTAGAGAATTACAGTTGCCTATCCCTGATCTAGTCCCAGGACTTGATTGTCATTCTTGGGAAGATGTTCCCAAGGGATCCCCTTTATCTTGCTGTGCACTTAATGCCAGACACATCTGTAAACAATGCATAATTATTTCCTTTTATTCTGGTCTGGTATTGACTTAATACTGTTTGATCACTTAACTGTGATTAGGAAAGTAGGAATGAACTGCAGGCTTGTACACTCTTCATTCACCCCGTGATGACACTTCTGTTTCTTTTTAGTTTTGCAGCCATCATTGGTACTATGTCTGCCCTGGCATTTTTGTGAATTATGATTTTTGTCATGTGGCCATCATTTCAAATGAGTTTCCTGACTATGTTTAATGGTAACACTAGAGCAGTGGTCTAACTAGCAATAGCTTAGATGGCATAAGGTAGTAGAGAAATAGATTCAAGAAATAAGAAATTGAGGTGGGATGATTAGGGTGGTTCTGGATACAAAGTCATATAAAAAGGTTGAGGATGAAATACAATTGTTAAAAAGAAAATATATGAAAGATAGCAAAGTTATAGCAGAAATTTCAGCAAAAAGGAAGAAGAGAAATACTGGAAATGGAAAAAAATTCAGAGAGATTAAATACTTATTTGAAAAGAGTATTTTGAGTCTAGTTATAAAAATTCAAGGATGCTGCTCAGAGCCACAGTAGCTTAAAAAAGTGAAAAATCTTATAGGAGTGATTAAAAATGATAAGACATAAGACATAAATTTATTTATAAGAGTTATAATGTGCAATTTGTTGAGGGATAAATTAGCGATTCTTATTTACACCGTGAAACGAAGCAAAGTGTTCAAAGCATTGTTAATATACTAATTTACTTATTTGTAGATCTCAAGTAGCTGAAAGGCGAGCATCAAAAATGATTAAGAAGCCACCTGCTTCGGTATCTGCAGACAGACGACCTGAAACAGAAACGCTTCAGCAAAATACGAATAAACGAGTTGAATCCTTCTGGGCTGCTATAGCAGAAGAAGATGAGCAAAGTCTAGTGAATGATGGAGTTAAGAAGACTCTTGCAGAATGCCTGTCCTTAATTGAAAAGGTGAGGCATCAGTGGCAGTCATGATAAAATAAGCATGTGATAAATTGACACTGGAATCCTGATCATGCAGCTTCATGAATATACTGTAAGGCTGATGATTTAATCACCCATGGACTTCAATCTTTAATTAAAATTTTCCTATTCTCCCACTTCAGATTCTAAAGTCCCATTCATGGACTTTAATTAAAGATTAGGGTCCATGAATGCTGATATCACCAGCTTTATGCATGCAGAGCTGCACCAACAGGAATCTAGTCAGTTAATTTTATTCATCTCTAATATTTGAAGCAATGGCACATATTGTCACAACAACTTGGATTTTCACTAAATGAAATTTAAAAAGCGATTGCTATAACTACTTGAAGATGAAATCTCACTGCTGGCAATAAGATTTCCAGAGCAAGATAAATTGAACAAATGGCTATTCCAAAATTGGAACAGCCGTGATGATTCTGGTAGGAAAGAAGTGGAAAAATAAAACAAATTTGTTACCTGTAAGTAACAGAGTTACAACTAGAGATGGGCACGAACCAGCGGTTCAGTCTAGTTTATTTACCAGTCCCACAGGTTCCACCTTTTGACACCAGACTGGCAGACTGCCACTCAGAGGCAGCACTCAGAGGAGGTGGGGCAGAGAAGCTGGGGCACTGCTTCAGAAGGGGGCACCTGTCAGAAGGAGGCAGGGCACCAAACTAGACCACCTGTGAGGCAGTAAACGAACCCATCTCTAGTTATAACTGGGACTGCTGAAAACAGTTCTACCTACTGCCTCTTCTCATTAGACTCTTGCTTAGCAGAGAACCTTTTATATGAGAAAATGTATTTATTTATTTATTTATTTATTTATTTATTTAACTTATAATCCGCCCATACTACCTGAAGGTCTCTGAGCAGCTTACAACATTTAAAATACAATAAAAAGGCAAAATAAAAGGGCAAAATAATTAAAATGCAATTAAAAATGTGTACTCTAAAAATTGCCATGAGACCCACAGCTGATATTATTAAAAGCCCTTTTGGAACAGGAAGGCAGTAGTCCACGTGCCAGCTGCCCTGAGTACACTATGTCTAGAGGGGCGGGGTAAAAATTGAATAAATAAATAACCCATGTTTTTAGTTTTGTTGACTCCCCCATTAAGCACAGAATCCAATTACATTGCAAGAAACTGGGAGATCTAATTTTGTGTAGGGTAGGACAGAGGGGAGACATCTCCCCTCCAACTTCTCTGCTAAACATAAAGGAAGAAACTGAGTATTTTCTAAGGCTGCCCTGACTTTGATGATTTGGACTAGTTTCAAAGCTCATGCAGTGAAAAATCTGGTCATTGCAACAAATTCATAGTCACTCCTCTAGAATTTGTATCAAATAGGAATTTTAAGAAGCTGGCTAACTAGCTCATCCTTGCCTTTCAGTAACTAAAATGTTTACTGTTTTATTATTGTCTTTAGGGTTTTCCTGGTGATACAGTTCATTCCACCTTGGAAAAACTAATCCTAAAAGTGCCAGATGCAAAAAAGCTTGCCAAGTATTGGGTGTGCCAGATGCGCCTTGAGCAGTGTCGTTCCACAGAAAAGGTCCTTAGCATCTATGGAAATGCCATTCTCGCAGGAGCACAGGTAAGAACTCTTATAAACACTACAAGGTTTCTAATAGGGTATGTTTTGACAGCATTTACATTAATTGTAAGGTAATATACAGACATTCTGCAAATGAGGCATAAGTTTTATTCATAGACTTGTTCATAGTACTTTTCAGTGTCCAAGCTGACTCAACTTTTTATTTCTTCATTATCTCACCTTGCATGCAAGCAGCTCAAGGGGCTGTACTTGGCTCTCTTCCACTGCTTTTATGATCCTCAGAGGTTTGGTAGGTGGTAACTGGACCAAGGTCACTCAATGAGCTTTATGGAAATTTGAACCTGAGTTTACCAAGTCATCGTCCAACGTTCTAACAGCTGCAACACACTGCTCAACCACAACTGACCCGAACAGATAATAACCAATCATGTTTCTTTCAGCCAAAGGATGAGTTACGTCATGCATTAGTAGATGCTATGAAGAGTACAAGAAATGAAACAAAATCTGATGGTAAGATTAATTATTTCCACTATGCAAATAAATAACATATTTCACAAAGATTGCACTCTTGCCCTTCATCACCATGGCTTAGTTCAGGGGTCTCCAAACTATGGCCCGCAGGCCACATCTGGCCCGCCTTGTCTTTTTATCTAGCCTGGGCATAGGATGTGGAGGGAAGGGGGATCCAAAGACAGCGGGGGTGAGGGATTACTTCCCTTCCCTTCTTTGGCTCTCAAAAATGTGTAAAATATATGATGTGGCCTTCATACTGAAATGTTTGGAGACCCCTGGCTTAGTTCTATTTATTATTATGTAGTGTATAAGTGTATCTGCACACAAACACATATATAATGCTTATTGGCAGAAGAAAATCGTAAAGAGATAAAATGTTAGTGTTTTATAGGTTAACAGTTTTATTTCCATGTGAGCTTTTGAAGATCAAAATCTACTTTGTCAGACGATGGAATGGAAATATATGATACAGTGGTGCCTCGCTTAACGAGTGCCCTGTTTAACGAAGAAACCGCTTAGCGATTAAGATTTTGCGATCAAAAAAGCGATCGCATTGCAACATTTTAAATAGGAAAAAATCGCTTTGCGACGATCGGTAAGCTGTTTCGCTTACCGATTATCACATAGCGATCTTTTTTCTACAGCTGATCGGCGGTTCCAAAATGACCGCCAGGTAAAAAACATGGCGGGCCGCTGTGTTTAGGGACGGATTCCTCGCATACCGGGCAGCGAAAATGGCCGCCGTATGGAGGATTTTCATTTAAAGGTAAATTTTAAGCCCATAGGAACGCATTGAAGGGGTTTCAGTGCATTCCTATGGGCTTTTTCAAATCACTTAACGATGTTTTCGGTTAGCAGCAATTTTTGCTGCACCGATTAACATCGCTAAGCGAGGCACTGTGCATATGTTCATACATATCCAAATGACCAGTGCAGAAATGTGATGGGTTGGTAAGGAAGAAATTGTGCTTTTCGCAGGCCTGAAATCTTTTCTCACTGCTTTTTTTTTTTGGGAACTTTTAAAAATAATCATAAAATACATTGTAATATGAATTTAAAAAGCAAATGAGTGAAAAAATACCAGCAGGCTATGCTCACTGTTTAGTAAGAAAACTCTGTTTGCTAAAACTTGGCAAGTTGGAAGATATTTTCAGTCCTTTATCATCTTTTTTACTGACTCTGCTTGTTATGTTTATTAAGACATTTCTGGAGGGACTGAACTATTCCTTGTTAAACAGGTTTTGTTCAAAGCATCTTATTTTGATGACAACTTCTGCAGTTTGGAAATATATACTATACCCTTTTGCACTGATCCGTACAAGAGAACATGACAAATATAATTGGGAAACAAAACTACAATAAACATGTGCTATAAATTCTATTAATTATTCAGTGGGCAAAATCCTATTCACATAGTTATGCCAGCATAAACTGGATCTAGATACCAGAAATAATAAATTTAGATTAATTGAAGATTAATTGAAGATTGCCACCTGGTTGTTGCCAGTGGTCCTGTTCCTGGTGGCTGCAATCCAGCAGTGATTTTTGACTGTTAAGAGTCTTCTCCCAGTACTTTTGGTTCCAAAAGGGAGCCTTAGGGGTGGATATGGATATAGCAAGCTTTCAGTTCATTTACACTGATTATATCCGGCACCTGGACCCAATTTATACCAGAGTAACTATGCGGACAGGATTTTGCTCATTGACTAGTATAGACGATAACTATCGAAACAGGTGGCATTTGTTTAAAAAAAAGTAATCTAACCTTTGGTTTTCACTTTCACAAAAGTCAATCACCTTGAATTAGGGCTACATTTGTATTTTCCTCCCTCCAGAGGAATGCTTGAAAAATAACATCACTCAAAATCATGAGGCAGAAGTTTATAATAAAGATGAAGTGAAGATAGGAAAAGCTCTCAACAAAGTCTCCTTTGAGAAAATTGTAAACTCTAACAATGAAGAGGCTTCTCAAAAAGCAACAGAAACTTGTGTGGAATCTGAACAAGGAGGATTTCAACCTGAAAAAAAGTTAAGAAATGAACACAGCCGGAAGTCCACAGTTCTTAAAAAAGAAGAGCAGAGTGTTGGCAATGAAGAGGAAATCCTAGCATTTAAAACTCCTGAAAATGTCAAAAGGGGCTCATACATTAAGTATAATCTGTCAACTACTCCTTACTTGGGAAGGTAAGCCCTCATTCCAAATTTAAGATGTAGTCCCTACCCAGGCACTACAGAGGTGTGTGTGTGTGTGTGTGTGTGTGAGAGAGAGAGAGAACCATCACAAGGTTCAGAATATAAGATAAGTGAATCCCTAAAGACAGGGAAGCAAGTGCATTCAATATAACCGGTTGATGCAGAATTCCTTCTTCTCTCATGTAGAGGAATGAGCTTCTGATCCACCATAGAATTTCTGCTGGTAGGCTAGAGGAGACGGTGATCTTCATTTCCACTATCCTTCTGTACTCTTAACCCCACCCTATTTGGGGGACCTTTTAGAACTTAATTGTGTGGGAGGATCAGCCTCTTCTCTTCCTACTTGGTGCTGAAAGCAGCAGTCTAAGTAGAATCCTGATTGGGGTTTGTTTCTATTGCTGAAAAATAAATTGGATCCCATGCACTGGAATCCACAGAACAGTGGGATGGATCGCAAAAGGAACAGTACTGGCCATTTAATGCACATGAGGAGATCAATAACAATGTGCATTGTTTGGGAGAATTTTCTGTTCTTATCAGTAAAAAACTTCATCAAAGCAAAATAATTTATTTTAAAGGCAGTTCTTTGACACTATTGGAGAACTTGCTCATTTTTCTTCAGTTATAGCAGGCCTTTATGACCATATGACTAAGTGATGCAAGACAGTTTTGTAGTTTCCACCTAATTTTTTTATCTCAATGCTGCATGAGCCACCAAGTGTTCATTCTACACAGAGACTAACAGCACAGAATCAACTATTTGTATGTTTTAATGACTCCTTAGCCCAAAGTGTGCAACTTTGTAAGGTCAATGTGGATATTGGCAGTTATGTGATGATTCAAGATGATCCTTGTTACTAGGGCGTTCTCTCAATACTGGTGCTATTATTAACAAGCTCATGGGGTTAGTTTTTGTGCTGCACTGTTTCAGTCCTCCTTCCTGTGTTTCAAAGATATAGAAAGTCACAACAAGTCTTAAGGACTGATTCTATTTTTTAAGGTACTGTACAACAATCTACATTTATTAAAATACAGTCATGTCATCTTTTGGTTGCTGCACAATGGTGGAGGGCGGGGTTTCACTTAACTGGGGCTTATTTTGGGGGTAGGGTTTATATTACGAACATCCTGAAAATTTTTTACTAGGGTTTATTTTTCAGGTTAGGTCTTGTTTACGGGGGAAAAAGGTATGAGAAATTTGACTGTTTTTAAAGGATTTTAGTGTATTCACGGTGAGAGGAATTGCACTCTGGGGCCTTACCACTGTTGGCTTCACATTCAAGTCTCAGAGTTGTGGCCTTGTATGAAGGTATTGATTTATTTTTACCTTGTTTTCTGACTAGAGATGGGGGTTTTCATATACAAATATGACTATCCCCACAGAGGTGGAAATAACGAGGGTCCACTCATGATTTCGCTGGCTTTGCGGTAGCCATTCTCCAACCTACCAGAGAGGCTTGTCAAACCGCCTTCTGCCAGGACCGGGTAATCAATTGCAGACCATGGCGCAATAGGAAGGCTCCACAGAGCCAGCAGCAGCAGCAAAATTGTGACTGGACAATCTGGCCCCATGGGGCCAGACCCTCATTATTTCCACCTGTGCGGGGATATGCGAATACGAATAGCCCCATCTCTAGTTCTCTGACTTTTCATCACATTGAGCTCAAGAAGGTGAACAATAATATAAATAAATTGTTGAACAGCATTAAAATAAAAGCACGTTAAGAAAAACTGCAGTAAATACCTGTAGTTAAAACTAATTTATTGGCTGTTGCCAAAGTACTTCTGAGATCTTAAAATCCCCCGATAATCACAAGATTGAAGGAGGGCTTAAAAAGATGCCACTGGCATTCATACATCTTACAAAACATTCTTAGATTAATATTGCTGTCTCTTCCGTGTTAATGGATCGGTTCTTTGCCTACCCTATGTTCTAGGCTGATATGCAGTCCTCAATAAATACTGACAAAGGAAACTCAGTGGGGCTTGCCAGTAGCAGATTAATGGCAGAGGCAAGGTCTGAATTAGCTCATGCTTGTTGTGAGCCCCAGTTCATTTTGAGGTGATTTTTATACCAAATAGATATGCTTAAATCAATTAAAAATGGATATCCTGATGGTGTTCGAAATCTCAAAATCTTGATAAATTTTACTTTCCGGTGTTGTCAGACAAAGCTATTTCAGTGCCTTCTGAGTAAACTAAACTGTATTCCTACAGGTCATCTGTAGCTGGGACACAGAGACATACTATATAATCTATTTTGATTGAATTATCTGTTAAAACAAGAAAAATGTATTTGCAATATACATTTATATAATATACATTTATATATTTCAGTGCATATCTAATATCTCTTTCTATGGCTTTCCCCTTTTCTGATCCTCAAGTGCAAAGAAAAAACTTCAGAGTGAAACTAATGATTCTGCAGTTAAAGACCTGAAATTCCTCACACCAGTGAGACGTTCTCGCCGTATAAAAAACAAGGAATCCAAGTTACCAAATATATTGAAAGACCACAACCTTTGTGTTTCTTCACTTGAACAGCTTGGAGAACTGGGCGATGATGGCATTGGTTTCATCTACAGACAAAACAGTGCTCTGTAGAAATTATCTCAACCAGAGTAAACCAAAAAAGGGCAGTATAGAATGTTTTAAATGTTATTTGGATCAAGGTTCTGTATCTCAATGCAGTTTTAAAAACTGAGTAGGCCATAGGGATGGCAAGCTTGTAAGTCTGTGTCTGGAATTTAAAAAAAATGTCTAACTGTATATTAATATTTTGTATTAGTGAAAAGCAGAATTATTCCAAAATATATCTTTTAATAATAAACGTTAATATCTTCAGCTTTATGGTTATAGGTTTCTCTTAAATTAAACTAAACTAGAGGTAAGGGATAACAAGTGTGCTAATATTTGAAAATAGTATCAACTCCCACTAAAATCCAAACTACTGTACTAGATTCCTGAAGCAAACGTCAACATTCAGCATTCGTTTTCAGCTGTAGTTGACTCCATCAACTATGCAGGACTCCATCGTATTCACTTAAAAAGGTAAAGGTTCCCCTTGACAATTTTTGTCCAGTCGTGTCCGACTCTAGGGGGCGGCGCTCATCCCGCTCTTCAAGCCATAGAGCCAGCGTTTGTCCGAAGACAATCTTTCCGTGGTCACATGGCCAGTGTGATTTAGTCATGGAACGCTGTTTACCTTCCCACCGAGGTGGTCCCTATTTATCTACTCGCATTTGCACACTTTCGAACCGCTAGGTTGGCGGGAGCTGGGACAAGCAACGGGCGCTCACTCCGTCGCGTGGATTCGATCTTTACGACTGCTGGTCTTCTGACCCTGCAGCACAGGCTTCTGCGGTTTAGCCCACAGCGCCACCACGTCCGTATTCACTTAATATGCAGTATTTCCAATCATACTCCGAACCTTAGGAAAGACCTGCTTTATTATCCTTTATTATCACATATGCTTTATTATCACATTTGGTTCCATTTTGAAAAGTGTGAGCAAGCTGACTTTCATAGGTCTTCAGTACTTAACCACCATCTGCCTCTCACCGACATTCTGGCCGTGCTGCTGCTATAGCCATTAATTAGCCTTGCTTCTCTCTTTCATACATTATGAGGCTTAACAAGGAATGGTGCTGTCATGGCTGAATGAGTGGTCTTTGGGTTTCAAGCCACCAGGTAATTCTGCCTGAGGGTGAGGCAACCAAGACTGGAGGCTCGTGGTGGTTGCATTGTAATGACTGGAGGAGTTGAGCAACAGCTACAGCTGGTAGGTATCCTGCAGTTTCAAGTGATAACAGCTGATGAGAGAAGTTAGACATGGCTTATTTCATTTATGTGCTGCCTTTCTCCCAGTGTTTTTAGATCTCCTGCTAATATAGCTCGTCATTTCTGTATGATTCTCATCAGTTGCCTGAAACATGTATTTGCAATAAACAATTTGTTGGCTCCATAGACTTCTGTGAGTTGCTCTCACTTTGTTTCTAATTCCTCCACCAAATCTCCCAATGATTCAGTTCTGCTTTGTTTCCTTTCGCATTGTAATCACCCAAGATTTTCAGTTCATCCTGGACATTGGAGGCGTCCAATTTCTTCAGCGTCTGCAGTTCAAGCATAGGCTTGAGTAACAGTTACGTTGGTAGCTCTTCTGTGGAGTCTTAATATTAGTCAGACTTTATATTATAACCTCTAACTGCTTGTGCTACAGTCTGTCTCACTATATCTTCAGTGTTTATCATTTCCTAAGTAAAATGCTTTCTAATTATATAATAGAAAATGCCCTGTTCTAATGTACTTTAGTTTGCTCATGTATTACATTTAAACATTCAGTTTCTCATTCAAAGATTTCAAGCTTTACTTTGATTCATACTTATGTTCCATGTTCCGATTATATGCATTGTGCCTTTGCATTGTTCAGAAAAGAATTTTCAAGGTTTAAAATTCTCAAAAGTAGTTTACCTATCTTGCCTTCTGCACAGTACTAGCAAGAGTGAGTTTGAGTATCTATGGAAGATCTTTCACTCTTGTCACTTTCCACCACTGCAGTTGCCCAGGAACTGTCTTTGAAAAACATCACCACCATCACCAGTGGAATTATTCTTGTCTAATGTCTATATTTTACAGCATTTTAAAAAAAAAGGGGGGGGAGAGCCCATTTAAAGCCAGATGTCATGGTTGGAACTACATCCTCAGAAATGGGCACACTGATGGACAGACACTTCATGTATGTACCTTAACCTCCAGCCACAAAAGGTGCATTCCGATCTTTGATTTCCTCAAGATAAACCTTTCTGCTCTAAAGCCACCATCAAGGTGTACCTCCCCAAAAGCAAAATTAGTTTGAGATTCCGTATCGCTTACTGCCCCCTGAATGTCCCATCCTAGTTAAAACACAAGATGGTGCATCTCAATCAGATACTGCGGACTGTTGCAGCTCGCTATCAAGCCGTTGTCGCTGGCTGCAATCCCGTTCCGCAGTTACACAAAACAGAAGGCATCCCTTTCAGGGGCGAGCTGCTGCAAGTTAAATCTCCGGAGGCTTCTCACGTGCACGCTAAGTTGCGTTGCTCGGCACGCCACCGATCACAGCGTGTCCAGACTCCGAGGACCGGATGAAAGGACTCCTAAGGAAAGGCTTCGTCCCTCCGACCCACGAGGGCAAACGGCAACGAGCCCTTCCGGCAACTGAAGGCCGGCCCACGCGGGGGAGGAGGGGAGAAAGGCGGTGCCCTCGCCCTTCCCGCCCTCCTTTGTCGGTGGCGGGGCCGGGCCGGGGGTCCCGGAGGTGCTGCAG